GTTTTTTCTACTTAAAATTTTAAGTATCTTTTTAAAGCTTTTAACTATTATAATTTTTAATTTTCTAACTTTGCTGCCAAGTTTGAACTCTGTTGTGTATCAAAAGTTAATATTAAATGTCATGATTTTTTCATACTCTAATTAGAATAAAATTGGTTTTTGAAATTGAGGAGACATTTAACAACTGTTCAACTCAACACATTTACCTAGATGATGATTCAGAATTAACTATTCTATTCAAATATCACTTATGTTTCTGGAAGCAACATTATTTTCACCTCTATAAACTACTCCACTCTTCCCATTTGTTTGAAAGGATAACACATAGGAATAAACTGATAAAAGGCATGAAAATTAACTGTTGCCAAATTTGAAAAGCAGAAAAGGAGAACTCAAGGAATCAGATGCAAAGACCTGGAATAAACAGAGAATGTCTACAAGGTGCCCCTACCTATGCTTATTTAAACACTGATTAAATAGGAATAGTAGGAGTAGTAGGAGACCAGAACTAATACCTATTATACTAATTAGATACAACATGATCCATTTTAGAGTCATCACTTTATAACATAAACATTTCAGCAGAGATGTTTACCTAAGTAGTCAATAAAAAATTGAGAATGTATTTAAAGATATGCCTTAATAAAGTATGCAGATTTCTTTATAAGTAGCAAGAATCAAATCTAAGCTGAAAACCATATCATACTGATTTATTCTTCAGAGTCTATGCTAGGTATCACTGTCTATTACTAAGTCCATACTGTACTCACCACTTGTTTTTCTTCTTAACTGTATCTCAGAGTACTGACATTCACAATAAAAACATTTTGAGATAAAAAAAAAAAAGTCAACAAAGCTACTTAGATCTGCTTATCTATAACTAGTGGCAAAAAAATTTTCAACCTATAGCTATTCATATCTTAAAACTGTGAACCTCATTTCTCTTTTAAAATTCTAATAAGTAAAATTAAGATAAAGCGAGGGAAAAAACCAAATCAATATGATGAACATTTTAAAATTACACAATTTAACCGGGACCGGTTTGGCTCAGTGGATAGAGCGTTGGCCTGCGGACTGAAAGGTCCTGGGTTCGATTCCGGTCAAGGGCATGTACCTTAGTTGTGGGCACATCCCCAGTGGGGGGTGTGCAAGAGGCCGCTGGTCGATGTTTCTCTCTCACCGACGTTTCTTTTTTTTTTTTTTTTTTTAATATATTTTATTGATTTTTCACAGAGAGGAAGGGAGAGAGATAGAGAGCTAGAAATGTCGATGAGAGAGAAACATCGACCAGCTGCCTCTTGCACACCCCCTACCGGGGATGAGCCCGCAACCAATGTACATGCCCTTGACCGGAATCGAACCTGGGACCCTTCAGTCCGCAGACCGACGCTCTACCACTGAGCCAAACCGGCTTCGGCTCTCTCACCGACGTTTCTAACTCTCTGTCCCTCTTTATTCCTCTCTGTGTAAAATCAATAAAATATATTTTTAAAAATAATAAAAACAAAATTACACAATTTAGTATATTAAATATATCTCAATACAAAAGGAAAGGGGGAAATAGACTCAATTATGGGGCTTTTAAGTTGGAAAATTTGTCAGTTATCTCTGAGTGAGAACTATGAGCACATTTTCTCTTTTGTGTGTGCTTCCTACATTTTCCAAATTTTCTACAATGAACATGCATCACTTTTATAACGTGAAAAACTTGTAAAATCTATCTTACCCCCTGCCTACTTTCTCACACTCCATTCCCCCAACACACCTGGAAATTTCAATCCTCCTAACAGAGTCCTTTCCAGCATCACTGCAAAATTGTATGCCACCTCCCAATTTCCCATCGAAGGATAAAATAGTAATGTGCTGCATGTAGATTAAGTAGAGCATAAATCCCTTTTGAACTTGTCAAAGGAGTATTTTTTGAGACAAAAGATTAGAAATGTAAATTAAAAAACAGCAACAAAGTAATTTCTTATGTCAATGATTATAATCAAGTTCTCTTAGAACAGTCAAGACATTTCTCATCCTAGGTGAAAACTGGTGTCTTCTCATCAATGTACTGAGTATCTACTAAATGCCAAACACATAGCTTGGCTATTCATAAGCTTCACTTTTTAAAGCTACGTTTATCTTATGGATAGTCTACAGAAAAATGTAAAATCTTTAGAAGGTTTTGGGCAATCATTTAACAACTTTCATCAGAATCAATAATTTTTAAGTGGGAAAAAACCTGCAAAAACTTATTGGTACTGTTATTCCTTGTAGAACATCACACCTATTCACCATAATAAAGCACTGCCAAATTAAAGACTACCAAACAGAATGGGAAAATCATTTTCCTTGTTTAGAGGTGTCTAACAAGTAGTCTGAATTTATATTAAAGTTAACTCTGGTAAATTACACGTTTGGCCAATTTTTAGAAAGTTTACACATCTACCGCATTGGAATGCAAAACATTTATGGACCCACAGAACTGTGGCAGCTTGAAGAATATATGTTGGGCAAACATATAGATCTGAATTCAAACTCAAAGTTACAGTGCAACTGTGGAGCATTCCTGAACTTAATTTCTTAATTCGTAAAATAGAAATAATACCCACCCACCTTACTGGACTGTTGAAAAGAATAAGGTGTACTGGTATATAGGATACCAAGAACAATGTCTGACATACCGAAAATAATAAATGTTATTGTTTTACTCTCTTCTATAAAGTAAATACCATATCTTGTCATTTTTATATCCTTTAACATGGCTTTAGTAGGTAATCAATAAATGTTTCTTTAAACGAATCTCTATAATTTAAGGCTAACTACTTCAACCTCCACTTCAGCAAGTCACCTCTACTAAATAAATTCTGCTGAGAATGGAACTTTAGATTCCCAGCACTTTATCAGGCATTTTGATGAAGATGAATCTCCATTAATTGACAAGGTAACTTTATTAGTATGTTAATATTTGGGTCTGAAATCTATAAAATTTGCCAACATTTTCATTTTGAGATTCTTTATATAGTTTTCATTAATCCAATTTCCTTGAAAATAAACTTTTACTTCTTCGGCCTCACAAAACTCATTTAAGATTCCTACTACATCTCAAATTTAAAAAAGAAATTGTCAATTAATTTTATATTTCTAAATAGCCTATTTTAATTTTTATTACAGTAAATAAATGTTCTTCCTTATTACTTTGAAGTCTCTAGCCATCTAAGTTCGTGTGTAAACATTATTACATAGAAATATTATAGTAATTAACAAGTCAAAGTACTGTGGTTTTAGATTTTCTTTGTCTTCCTACAACCAAAGGTTATCAATAATCCAATTCCAGTTCAAATACAAAAGTATTGCAAATTCTGCAATATAATTTGAAAAATAATTTGAAAATGTTAAATATATAATGTTTCAAAAAAACATCAATTTCATTAAAAGTAGGTAACATGTAACTTTCAGAGTGAAACAAGCATTCCTGAGATAAGATATGGCAAAGTAGCAGTTTTTAACTACTAAACATAAATCTTCAAACTTGGGACATAAATTACCATTTAAGTACTTAAAATAGCTTGGCAGAGAAGCAATAAGAACTTCATACTAAATGACCTTTTATTTTTTTATTTTTATTTTTTAAATATATTTTATTGATTTTTTACAGAGAGGAAGGGAGAGGGATAGCGAGCTAGAAACATCGATGAAAGAGAAACATCGACAAGCTGCCTCCCGCACATCCCCCACTGGGGATGTGCCTGCAACCAATGCACAAGCCCTTGACCGGAACCGAACCCGGGACCTTTCAATCCGCAGGCCAACGCTCTATCCACTGAGCCAAACCGGTTTCTGCTAAATGACCTTTTAATTTAAATAAATTCAAACTTAGAAGCATTTTTAAAAATTGGCTCTACTAACAAGTTTGATAAATATTTAGTTACTATAGACTATTATAGTTTCTTGACCCAATGAAATAATAAAATGTTTTAATAGATGGAAGTGCCAGGTGAGACAAATTTTATTGCCATTATCTTAAGTGCTGATATAATTAATCTGTTATTTTAATAAACATGATATAGTTCAAATGCATTAGAAATAGAAGTGAAATACACTAAGAAAAATGCCCTGGGTATATATGACAACCTATAAGTTAACACTTAATAAAAACTATTCTTTTTCTGGGTTACATTTTAGTTTATTTAAACTAAAGACTAAATTTAGATGTTTCCTTACTTTGGTCCCACTTTTAAAAGTCATATTTAAAATTTCTTATTTATCTAACTTGATTCCTTGTTATTGTCAAAACTGATATTAAAAGTTCCCAACCGTGCCGAAACCAGTTTGGTTCAGTGGATAGAGCATCAGCCTGAGGACTGAAAGGTCCCAGGTTCGATTCTGGTCAAGGGCATGTACCTTGGTTGCAGGCACATCCCCAGTGGGGGGTGTGCAAAAGGCGGCTGATCGATGATTCTCTCATGGATGTTTCTAACTCTTTATCCCTCTCTCTTCCTCTCTGTAAAAAATCAATAAAATATATATTTTTAAAAATAAAGAAAAAATAAAAGTTCCCAAACATTATATTTTAATACATATAAAAATGTTTTCAGGCCCAGGGTCTTTCATACCAACTGTCTATAAAATACAAATTAGGATGCCAAATATTATATAATTCTGAAGCCACTCCATTCAAAGAAAAATGCTCAAGTCATTTTCATGTGTTTGTGTGTGTGTGTGTGTGTTTTCCCTGAATAGGAACCTATTCATATTTCAAGATTAGGCAATGGAATGCATTTCCGATTGTGCCTCAAACAAACTTCATTTTAAAAGCTCATGTAAATTAATAAAACAATAAATTTCATTCATTTCACAAATGTGATATGCTGTAAGACCTCCTTACAAAAAGCTAAGAATAATTAAAATACTATTAGCAACATATTTAATTATTCGAAATTCAGCTTTGATTTCCAGAGGATTCCAAGTTTTAACAGTTCGTTGGTGTATCTTGCTGAAATCTCTATTTCTGTGAAGGAAATATCAAGTATTATAATAATACTTTCAAACTTACATCTTGCACTTAGACCTTGCTTATGCAGAGATCTATTGAAAAATACACTTGGCCGGGACCGGTTTGGCTCAATGGATAGAGCATCGGCTTGGGGACTGAAAGGTCCTGGGTTCGATTCTGGTCAAGGGCATGTACCTTGGTTGCGGGCATATCCCCAGTGGGGAGTGTGCAAGAGGCAGCTGATCGATGACAGATCGATGTTTCTAACTCTCTATCTCTCTCCCTTCCTCTCTGTACAAAATCAATAAAATAAAAAATAAAAATAAAAAATAAAATAAAAAAAAAAAAAAAAAAAAAAAAAAAAAAAAAGAAAAATACACTTGAAAGGCAAAAAAAAAATTAGAAGCAGTTGCAATAATTTTGACATCAAGAATCAATCCTTCAGTGTCTAAACTCAGTCTCAACTGTCCAACGCACTAAAGAAATATAACATTTGTTTCCATCTCTTAGAAGCCTAATAGACTAAATTAAAACAAATCCAAATAAGTTTAAGTCAAAAAAACAAGGCATGAAATTTTCATCCAGATGTAAACATCTCTGGAAAACTCCAAAGTAATGAAAACTAAATCCAACAGGTCTTTAGAGACCTCAAAAAACAAAAACCGTGCCTACCATGATCCAACATCTAGCTGGAAATAGGAAACAATAACATTGCTACTGGACATGGACTTCACTAATCAAGGGACCCAATTCGTTCTCATCTCCTGCAGGCACGCAGGGCCTTAGCAAATTTCCCTTCAGTCGACTTGCTTTCTCGTTTGTAAACAACTTCTGTAGCTTTTTCCCTCTGGCGTTCAAGCGGGAGGGAAAATGAAAGTCTGAGAAGCTAAGCTTCGGAATCTGAGCAAGTTTCAGGGAGTCGCCAAGAAGGGGGATCCCATAGATCACTTAGGAAAAACAGAGAGAGAAAAAAAAGGGGGGAGGGCGCCTAGGGGTAGCCCCCGAATTAGAGAAAAGAAGTACAGTCACCTGAAGAGATTGGTAAAGTAAAACCAGCCTTTATACGGTAGTAAGACACGTTTAAAAAAAACAAACAAACAAAAAAAAAAAACAAAGCAAAAACCACACACACACACACACACACACACACAGTTGTCTGGGGGCTGGAAGTTATGGGGGCGCTCTTTGTGCGGAGTCTGAGGGGAAGGGGAGGGCCCAGAAAACAGCCTGGGAGTCATTCAAAGGAGCTAGAGCAGCGGAGCCCGGGCGCGGGCGCGGGCGGGGCCGCGCGGCGAAGGGAGGGAAGGCGGGCGGGCGGCAGCCCACCCTCTGACACCCGGGAGGGAGGGAGGGAGGGAGGGAGGGAAAGGGAAGAAGGGAGGGGGCGGGGAGCCGCGGGCGGAGACCGGGTGCCCCCGGTCGGTGGTGAAAGCGGCGGCGGACCAGGCGCTGGGCGGGGGAGGGTCCGGCTCCCGAAGGAAGCGGCTCCCGGGAGAGACATCCCCAAGTGCCCGCACTTAGCGGGCGAGGGGCGCGGCGGCCGCGGGGCTTCCACGGGCCCCGGACCCCGCGCCAGGTCCCCCCCCCCCCCCCCACCCCTGTCCAGCGCCCCGCAGCCGGGCCGCGGCCCTTCTTACCTGGAGCTCCGTGAGCAGGATCTCCCCCCGCTCGGGGTTGGACGCCATTGCACTCCGCTCTGGACTCCGCACCTGGACGCGACCGCCGCTCGCGAAGGGAGAAGGCGGGACGGGACCGGGGAGGTGGGGGGGAGGGGGTGAGGAGCGGAGAGAGAAAGGGAAAAATCACACACAGGAAAAAAAAAAAAAACTTAGGGCTTCATGGAGGCGCAGCCCCAGCTGGCGGCGCGGCTTACTCCGCCCGGTTCATGGGGAGCGGCGGGGAGCGAGGGCATTCATAGCGGGCTCCCCCTCGCCGCCCGCCCGCCGCCGCCGCCGCCGCCGCCGCCGCCGCCGCCCTCCCGCGCCGACTCCGTCCGCTCAGGCGCTCCCTCCGGGCGCCGCCGGGAGCCGCCTCTCGCCTCTCGGTGCGGGCGCAGCGGCCGCGGCCGTAAGCTCCTCCTGTCGCACCCTTTAGCTGTCACTGCGTCGCAAAAGCGGCCGCACTTGGCGGCCGCCGGGACACGTGACGGCCGGGGGGTCGCGGCTTCGCGCCTGGCGGGAAAGGTGGGGCGGTGGGGCGGTGGGGGACCGTGGGTGGAGCGGAGCGGCGTCCTCCCGAGTTGGGGGGGTGGAGGGGCCCTGCCTGCGGATCCGCACGGGGTGAGGAGGAGAGGGGAGCGCGGGGCTCGCGTCCCGGGCGGCGGGAAGAGGAGGAAGAACCCCCGCCCGCGCTCCTGCTCCGTCCAGCGGCTCCCACCGGGAGCGCCGGGGCTCGGAGCCTGCTCACTCTAGTTTGTTTTGCTTTCTCCCCAGCCGACTTTCTCGTTTCTTGCTGGAGGTTAGGCCTCACGGAAACGGGCCCCTCCCTAATTTCCACAATCTCAATAGTCTCAAACTGTATAGATGATTCCCCTGTGCCCCCCGGTGCCACCCCAGCTCTTAATCTTGCTTTTTTTTTTTTTTTTTTTTCTTTTTTTTTCCTTTTTGCTCCCTCCCCTCCCCCGCGCGCCTTCGGACCAGTGAGGCGCCCCGGGGCTCCGCTGGGGTGTGGTCTGCACTTTTTAAGAAACCTAGCAGCTCGCGATATCTGGCAACTTTTAACGCTCAGCTTTTCTGAGAGAGATCTTTTCTCAAGCGCTGGGTTATGGTTTTTGCCAGTGGGACGCCACAGAATTTAAGATTTCATTTAGCTGGCTTCTTGAACGGTTGTAGCTGAATTTAAACTGGAGGAGGCAGGGCGGGATAAAAGCCAGGAATGGGATAAAAGCCAACTCCTTGGTGTAGTAAACATGCAAGCTAGCCTGTTAGTGACATATAGCTAAATAGTGTAAATTTAGGGTTTGTGTGTGTGTGTGTGTGTTTAAATGACTATCGTATTCAGGAATGCCAATAAAGTCTTCAGCAGGTAGCTTTTGTTTTGTCTGAGCACTGAATAGCTGTTATTCTAGGCAACTGCCTACCTTTAGATTATCTGAGGCTGAAATACAATGGCTTTGTGAAAAGCTACCTTGGAGAAAGTGATAGTAGTTAGATAGCTACTTCAGTAATGGCTTAGTTGTGATACTTCTTAAGAAGTATGTATACCATTATGTACCTGTCTTACACTCTGTGTCAGATCTGTTGGACTGATGCTGGGATTTCATGTTTTATCTTTTTGTCTTCTCAAGTCTCATGCATTCATTTGACAAACATTTGTTGAAGGTCTAGACTTCTGTGACCAGATTTTCTGAACTCCCAACTCATGACATGTGAAAAAAAATTTTTCTGGTGTGTATTTCAAAAGTTTTACAGCTATTTATAGGTTTAATGCATTGCTTTGGTTGAAAATAGTAATTAAAATAAATGAAATAGCAACTCTTGGAAAAGCCAGATTATAAATGTCCTCCCTGGTAACTTAAGAGCGGGACAGTGAGTGTTCTAAGGCCCTGGAGTTAACAGCTAGGAGTACGGAAGAGTTCTTGTCCCTGGAGTGGCTGTGAGTCCTTTAGAGAAACAGACTGATGTCCAAACCAATCTGTCTCTTTAATGCAATTTTAAATGGTAGGAATGAAATGTTAGGGGAGCACTGCATGTGGTAAAGTATACATAACAAAATTTACCATCTTAACAATTATCAGTGTACAATTCAATGGCATTAAATGCATGTAAATGTATTTTGCTTTTTTTTTTTTTTGCCTTGCCTTATTCCAAATTTGATTTAATATTGCCGGCATGCCCATAGTAGGTGCTTAACAATGATAGAATTTAAAATGACCTATGTAAGGACTGAGAAATACAGTCAAAGCGTATTCTTTTTAAAAATAAATTTGGATACAATACAGAAAACACGTTTTTAGCACCATGGAGTTTTAGCCTAATTCTTATAAGTAGGGGGCGGGGGAAGAGTAATTTACTTAGCTAATGAGGAGCATGGCAATTTAGTGGTAGAAATGGAGCCTAGAATCTAAATCTCCTAATTGCCAGTACTGTGTTTCTTTTAACCTAGACCCGTGGATTGCAAACTGTGGCTCTAGAGCCACATGTGGCTCTTTGGCCCCTTAAGTGTGGCTCTTCCACAAAATACCATGGCTTCTGCGAGTCTATTTTGAAGAAGTGGCATTAGAAAAAGTTTAAGTTTAAAAAATTCGGCTCTCCAAAGAAATTTCAATCGTTGTACTGTAAATATTTGGCTCTTTTGACTAATGAGTTTGCCGACCACTGAACTAGACCATGCCTCTATAAGTACTTTAAAATAGAATCCTCATTCACACGGAACTCAAAGCATTATATACCCCCTCAAAATTTTTACCATAGAAAAACACTTCAAATTTTACATATTTCTAGTGCTAAAACAAATATTGGTAATAACTTTAATTGTATATATCACATGTAAATGTAAACAACAAAAATAAAAGTGTTTAAAGTTATAGGAATTATTTCTGAGATCAGTTATGCTGGGGAAAATAGTATAATACAAAAGGGAGACCAAGACAAAATGAAAACTGCTTGATAATTTGAAAAATGGCTTAAACAGTAATTTAAGCTAAAAACTGCTACCCATCTCATAGTCTGTTCAGGGCCAAGGTAAGGGGAAGTAATAGTACGTGGAACATACTTATCAGAATGAAGCACACTTGAAAAGTTTTCATGGAAACTCAAATCATGTTGATTCAGATGAGTTGTATTCAGTCCCTATTTGCAAATGTTTTTAGGGAATCCTAAGTGTAGTTCAACTGAAGTTATGTTCTAATTTATATTACCAATGAAACGGATGAAAGGTTTTTTTACACAGGTCCATATAAGAAGTTAAAGACCTCAAATATATCTGGATTGTATCACTAGTTACGCAGGCATCTTTAAACTTTTTTCAGAGCAATTTTAAAGGTCTTTAAAAATTAGAAATTACCAAACATACAGAAATAGTTTCAATTAACAAAAATTCGATAGAAAGTGTTATTTTGTATTTCTCAAAATGAAAAATATTTTAGGAAAAATCCTAGTAGAGTTGGATTTCACTGTTTTTGTTTTCTGTATTATTGGTGAGAGACAGATTTTCAGATATTTGGATAAGGATTATATAGGGAAAGGATCAATAAATTTTACTTTGTGAACCAAACTTTTTATTGCCTTGCTATTTTTTTATTTTCCTTTTTTCCTTCCTTAATATTAGTAAAGTGGTTTTTCCCCCCAATTTTAGCTTACCCCAAAAGCATTTTTGGAGTATCGAAGGAAGATAATTTTTGGTGGTAGTGTTGTTTTGATGTTAGTGTTAAAAAAAAAAAAAAGAGAGGGAGGCCGCGAATTCCGTTTGGAAGTGTCTGTGAGCTCGCTTGGACACCATGAGCAAAGCTCACCCTCCCGAGTTAAAGAAATTTATGGACAAGAAGTTATCGTGAACATAGAAAAGAACTAAAGATCTGACCTGCTATTATTTGAAGTTTGTAGGGTTTAAGATCATGGCTTTAGAGATAGGAGAGAGAGAGATAAACATCAGTGATGAGAGAATCATTCATCTGTTACCTCCTGCACAGTGGAGAGCAAACCCGAAACCAAGCACAAACCCTGACCCAGAATCACACCAGGACCTCCAGGTTCATAGTGAAATTAAATGGTGGCAGACATGTCCAAGGAATATTACGGGGATTTGATCCCTTTATGAATCTTGTGATAGATGAATGTGTGGAGATGGCAACGGGTGGGCAACAGAACAATATTGGAATGGTGGTAATCCGAGGAAATAGTATCAGCATGTTAGAAGCCTTGGAACGAGTATGAAGAATGGCTATAGTTACCAGAGAAATCAATTGCTTCCACATGTCCCCTCTCCACAGCACCTGTTTTCCTACAATATAGAGTCCTGTCCATTTTCACATTGAACTTTTGTTAAATAAACTTTTGTATTGATGAAAAAAAAAAAAAAAAAGAGTAACACCATACTCCTGAGTGAAATAGCAGTGATAATCAAAGTCACAGACTGCCAAAGGAGAGGCCGAACTCAGGGAGACAGAATCAGAACTACTTGATCACTCTTTTCTTATTTAGGAAATCCCTTGTAGGGAGTGTCCCTTTGTGTGTTGTATGAGGATAATTTTGAGAAGATAGTTTAAAAAAAAATTCCAGAACACAGAAAAGTAAACCTGACTGTAGCAGATATTGTTTGCTATGTCTTCTCAGCCCATGTCCCCTTCTCTGAGAATTGCCCCTATTCCCAGAGAACAGGTCTCTGTAGCCATGTTGATTCTGCTTGACCTAGAAATTTCAGTAACCTGGGGGTGGACCATGATAGAACATCGCCAAGCTAACAAAATTCTGTTTCCAAAGATCTAGAAACAGAACACTGGAATGTTGATTAACTGGTGGCCCTGCAGTGTGAGGTGTTATGGTTCTAGGGCTAGAATGGCCATTTTCTGGTGTGTGTACAAAGATGCAGAAAATCTACTCTTTGGAAAAGAAAGAAGTTCCTCCTTCCTGTCACTGAGAATATAGTGCTGATCAAGGCATACCTGATCTCTATCTTCATGGAATTTTAGTTTAGTTATGGAGACATAATGACAGAGAAGGTGAATTCAGGGGGCTTTGAATACAGGTCAGGAAGTCCTTTCCTGAGTATTTCACAGATAAGTTGAAATCTCACTGGGGCATAAATGTTAACTGGGCAAAAACGTATCAAAGACTTTCCAAGAAGAATAACAGGTAAATAATCTAGAATGGGAGGGAGCATTGTATAAGTACTGAAAGGCTAGTGAGACTATAGCAAAGAGATGGAGCAATAAGCAAGAACTTATAAACCATGTGTATCAGGATAGAATATGCTATGGTAAGTAACAAATGATTCCAAAACTCTTAGCGCCCTACAATAAGGTTTGCTTATCTCTCATGCAACATGCCCACAGCTCTGCTCCATGCCTTCACTCTGTACTCAGGCTAATAGAGAGTATCTGGGATATTGCCATTGTCATGGCAGAAGGAAAAGAAAAGGTAAAAAAAAAAAAAAAAAAAAAAGGCTCTGCTAATGTGCAAAGAGAAGCAGAGATGAGAAACTATTTCTCCCAGGATGGTGGAAGAAATATAGCAGAATTGGTTCTTGATGTTTTAGCATTTGCTGGTTCTAATCTGTGGGAAGTTCAGCTACTCTATACTGTGTTTCTTCTGAGGTTCTCTGTGTTCCCATCATCTTTCCTTTTGCAAATTGGTGTGTGTGTGTGTGTGTGTGTGTGTGTGTGTGTGTGTGTGTGTTCATAAGCAGCTTTAACAAAGCCATTCAACCAAAGTAAGAATCATCAGAGTGACAGCACAGTTCTGACAGTAGGGTAAAAATAAGGAGGACCAGCAACAATTAATTTAGTGCTGTCTTCTCTCTCAATGATTCCTTCTCTAGCCTATTATTCCCAAAAGATTCTAACACCAGCAAACATACAAATTATAAACAATAAGTATATATTAAACCTGGTATGAACCTTCCCACAGCATTTTGTTGATAAATCTATTTGTTTACTTACATTTCCTTGTAGAGTCTTGTAACATATCTTGTTCTCCTGCTAGACTTAAAGCCACTAGTGAGGTTACATGAATCTTATGTGGCCTAGTAGGGTGTGTCTTATGAATAGATATTGTGTGTGTGTGGTTCTGTATGTGTTACAGAAATATTTTAGGATAACTCATCTAGAGACTCTCTGTCCCTCAGAAAATTAGGTAAGCTTGCCTTGAATGCCCACTTTTGTAGGCTCTAAAGAGCCTGTTTTCCTAATCCATTTTTTCTGATTTTTTGATGGATTATTTACACATGCCTGCCTCCTTTTCTCTCCTACCACACTTCCCCACTGGTGGACAATTCACAGTATCCATATTGATATAGACCTAAAGTTCATACCAGCTCTCCTCATGAATTCATTAACCTGGTACCAGAAATATAAGAGGGGTCACACTATATAGTGTATGATGCTTTTTATCCTGAATCTAGGACAACCTCTCTTTTTCCACTCTCAGTAGAGTAACAAGGTAGAGTAACAAGAAGTTTTCCTTTTCCAGGCTGTAACAGTTTAACCATACTTAGATTCTTCTAATTCTCAAGTGTTATCCCAAATAAGACTGTTTAGAAATTTCTCCACAAAATATACATGTCCTGAGAGGGATTTCAGAAAACACCATTTTCCAAGCTTGGTACATAATCAAATGAATGGTAACATTTTTAAAATTTTTTGTATTTGAAGTAATGAAAAATAAGGTATGTTTTAACCTCTATTGAGAAGTTAAACTTTTTTTTTCTAACCCTCAGTATCCCTTGATCCTCTTAAAATTATTTAAAACTCCAAAGAGCTTTTGTTTATGTGAGTTATATCTTCTGATGTTTACTATATTAGAAGTTAAAGTTGAGAAATTTTTAAAACACAAGAATACACTATTAGCCAACACTATTAGCCAACAGTGATGACCTCATCCTATGTCACACAGCCTCTGACAAAACTCTATCTTACACCTTTAGGAGAATAAGAGTGTAAAAGGCAAGTGACATCTTAATATTATTATAAACATAGGTTTGACCTTGCGGATCAGACCCTCTGGATTGCACTTTGACAACTGCTATTTTAACCTATACAGCTGCCTCTGTATTAGTACAGTTTCTTTGCTCATGAATATGGAAATGTGACCTCTTTGTTTCCAGAGTTTAAGATCTATTACATGCCAAAGTAATTACAAGCTGCTGGGCTTTTCTAGTGAAACATCAATGTGGTACATGAGAAATGTTGGCTATCCTTGTCAAAATGAAAAAGGAATAGAGATATGAAAAAGTTTATATAAAACTATTTTACTACTAGTGCTTCCTAGAGGAAAGCTCTTCTGCAACTGTAAAATGGCAAAAAATAAAATCAATAGGTACAAAGAATTAATATTGGTTATACCAAGCATTTTAAAGGATTTGGGAGGTGAACAATAGGGGGGTGGCTTTACCTATCAGATTTTCTTAAGCTCCCTGCTATTGTTCATTAATACATATTTACTATTTGAATTAGGGTAAAGCTAACCTTTTTTTAAAAAATATATTTTATTGATTTTATAGAGAGAAAGAGAGAGAGATAGAGAGTTAAAAACATCGATGAGAGAGAATCATCGATCAGCTGCCTCTTGCACACCACCCACTGGGGATGTGCCCACAACCAAGGTACATGCCCTTGACCGGAATCGAACCCGGGACCTTTCAGTCCCCAAGCCGACGCTCTATCCACTGAGCCAAACCGGTTTCAGCAAAGCTAAATTTTTAACAGATACCAAACATGGTTGAAAGAACACTGAAATTTGTTACTCCCTCACAAGGATTGCATAAAGTTATTAATCCAGGTTATTAGTCTGGCTCTGCTCCACAAAGCCATATAGGGACCCAAGTGCCTTTTATCATACTGCTCTACCATCCACCGTGGTGTTATTCTCAACAACAGGCTTGAAGCTGGCTCAGAGGACTTTATGATCTACTTTGTGGGAAGTAAAAAAGAGCCTGGGGGTTCAAAAGTCCTGTGTTAAGGCCCAGACTCAAAATTAACATATATATTTGTGACCCCATTCTATTGGGAGAATATAGTCACCTAACCACACCTAGCTTCAAATGAGGCTAAGAAATGTGCTCTCTGACTAGTCATGAGCCTACCCACAACTCTCTTACCAAATAAGAGGGTCAGGGTGGATTTTCATGGACAATTCACAGTATCCATCACATAGCTTTATAGGCAATGATTTTTGCAATCATCAAATTGTTCTACTTCTCAGGCTTTAAAATGAAAGCTTTCAATCTGTAACTACTGCATTCTCTAGGTCCTCGAGTACTAGGGCATTGAGTAAATATATTCATTGTGTCAGTTAAAAAATCAATAAAAAAAAAAAAAAAAAAAAAAAAACTTGGTGACAGCCCTGGCCAGTTTGGCTCATTGCATAGAGCTCCGGCCTGCAGACTGAAGGGTCCCGGGTTTGATTCTGGTCAAGGGCAAGTACCTCAGTTGTGGGCAAATCCCCAGTAGGGGGTGTGCAGGAGGCAGCTGATTGATGTTTCTCTCTCATAGATGTTTCTCTCCCTCTCCCTCTATGTAAAAAAATCAATATATTTTTTTTTAAAAAAAAGAAAACTTGGTGACATTCCTAGCAAATGATTATTCTTTTAGTTTAAGCTTTCTACAATAGAACCCAACCACTATTCCATGAGAAGCCAAAGCCTTGCAGAAAGGCTGTATGTTGGTGTTCTTGTCACCAGTGCAACCCATCCTTCAGATCATCCCAGCCCAGATGCCAGATAGATGATTGAGGATACCATAGCTTGGCAATAGATCCAGTCTCAGCTATTCCAGTCCCCATCAATTCAAGTCACCAGATGTTGGAATCATCCTATTTGAGGCCAGAGACATCATGGAAAGAGACAAACAACGTTACATGCCCTATCCAAATTCCCAATCTATACAATTTATGGGCATACTCAAGTGGTGTTTGTTTTGTTTGTTTGTTTGTTTTTTAAATATATTTTATTTATTTACTTATTTTATTTATTTATTTTTACAGAGAGGAAGAGAGATAGAGAGCTAGAAACGTTGATGAGAGAGAAACGTCGACCAGCTGCCTCTTGCACACCCCCTACTGGGGATGTGCCCGCAACCAAGGTACATGCCCCTGATCGGAATTGAACCTGGGACCTTTCAGTCCGCAGACCATTGGCTCTACTACTGAGCCAAACCCGTTTCAGTGGTTTGTTTGTTTTAAGGTAGGGGAGCAATAGATGTTCATGGCAATAGAGAACATACATTCCAAGCTGGATATTTATTGTAGATAAGCCCACTTCTCAAATTCATTGATAGAACTCTTCTGTGATAGTTTATTTAAATTATCTAAATTGACCAATTACAAAGTTTACCTTTTATAATTATTGACTTCTTGAGTGAAAAAATATAGGTATAGCAGAATTCTATAATCACAGAATCTAGTATATATGTAAAACTCATGAGTTTAAAGTACTTGATGAGAACTTGTTTGATAATTTTGTTATTTATAATATAAGTATATATGTAACCATTTTTCTTATTCATACATATAGCTATTAAGGTCTGGCTGAAAAGATGTGGAAGTACCAATTAAAAATAACTGTTACTTATAAAAACAACTTTAAACTATATCACTTTATAAAGATTCTTATGAAAGGTTTCCTATTAAAGATACTGTTTTGGAAAACAGTACTATAAGTCATTTGCATATCTATTTATGTGCTGGTAAGTCACATGATCTGAGTATTGCTTTTACAGTTTAAGCCTTTCACCAAATGAAATTTTATTTTATTTTATTTTTTTTAATATATTTTATTGATTTTACACAGAGAGGAATTGAGAGGGACAGAGAGTTAGAAATGTCGATGAGAGAGAAACATCAACCAGCTGCCTCCTGCGCACCCCCCACTGGGGATGTGCCCATAACCAAGGTACATGCCCTTGACCGGAATCGAACCCAGGACCCTTCAGTCCGCAGGCTGACGCTCTATCCACTGAGCCAAACTGGTCCCGGAAAAATGAAATTTTATTTTTAAAGTATCTAATCATCACACACATACTTACACAAGTATTTTGAATGATGCAAAATATAAGATCCACATTTCAGATGCTTTGCTGTGCTGCCTGTAACAACTAGAGCTTCCTAAAGTTCTCCTTTATTAGAGCAAAATGTGGATGATTCAAATACCATGCTTCAGTTACTTTCATCATTTGAATGAGATAAGCTCTCAGCAAGAACTATTCAAGAAACTATGGTTCAAACTGTGTTATCCTGCTATAAAGCAATCTGCTAAACATTTCTGAAGCAATTTAGACAGCTGTGACCTGGTTGCAAACAATGTGGACATTTAATCTATTGGCTTGAAATTGAGGCTACAGAGAAGATATTCAAGAGTTTTCTCATGAGTTCATTTGCCACATAGAAAAATACTTGGGCCCTACCTGGTTTGGCTCAGTGGATAGAGCTTTGGCCTGCAGACTGAAGAGTCCCAGTCAAGGGCACATGGGTTGTGGGCTCAACCCCCAGTAGGGGTTCTGCTGGAGGCAGTTAATGATTCTCTCACATCATTGATATTTCTATCACTCTCTTCCCTCTCTCTTCCTTTCTGAAATCAATAAAAATATATATAGTTAAAAAAGAAAAACACTCATATTTTTTATGTGCCAAGAATGGAAA